ATATATTAAACAGGTTTGTAAACATTACTTTCTTTCTAAAAGTGTAAGCTAGTAATTTGGGGTAGAAAGTACATTCAGATATACCAAATTGAGGAATTGAACTCAGGAATATCAATTAAAAGTTGTCAACTAACTTCACCGAATATCAAATCAAAAAGGAAATTGTGTATTTTTATCGTAAATTTAGTTTTAATCTACTTTTCACCTTTCTTAGCTGGGAATCTTTCTTATTCATGCCGAAAAAGTCCTTAAAAATTCTCATGTTAAAATGCCCTCAATTCTGTGAAATGTTTATGCTTGAGTCAACTCCTGTTACTGACGGCACGTGTAGGGAGACACGCGAGAGAGAGAGAGAGAGAGAGAGAGAGAGAGAGAGAGAGAGAGAGAGAGAGAGAGAGAGAGAGAGAAGAGAGAGAGAGAGAGAGAGAGAGAGAGAGATTTGATTTGATTTGATTTTTGATTAGAGATAGATAGATAGATAGAAGAGAGAGAGAGGAGAGAAAGAGAGAAAGAGAGAGAGAGAGAGAGAGAGAGAGAGAGAGAGAGAGAGAGAGAGAGAAGAGAGAGAGAGAGAGAGAGAGAGAGAGAGAGAGAGAGAGAGAGAGAGAGAGAGAGAGAGAGAGAGAGAGAGGGAGATTTGTTTTGATTTTTGTGATTAGATAGATAGAGAGAGAAAGAGAGAGAGAGAAATTTGATTTAATTTTTGATTAGCGAGAGAGAGAAATAGATAGATAGATAGATAGATAGATAGATGGAGAGAGAGAGAGAGAGAGAGAGAGAGAGAGAGAGAGAGAGAGAGAGAGAGAGAGAGAGAGAGAGAGAGAGAGAGAGAGAGAGAGAGAGAGAGAGAGAGAGAGAATCATTATGGATAACGAGAGCAGGAGGGGACATAGAAAGCAGAAACTTTGCCGCGTTCGTTATTTTCAGTGAAAATGAATAGACGAAAGATGGAAGAATTCCCCAAGGGCTACTAATTAAAGTTAATGATGTTTACTGCTAAAGAGAGACATAGATATTTATAGTGAAGTCATTGCTGTATCACTATTTTTGTATGTATACCTGTAATAACCTTTCTTGATTATGAACACCTGATAGTAACAAACGATATTACTACTACAATGGTTTTCTTATTTCCTTTTAACTACTATGTGCCAGTGGGTGGAACTTGGGCGGAACCTGGATGGACAGTACGAGCAAAAAAAGACGATATTTAGGACAAGTTAGACCAGGTTGCTTAGGTTGCAAATTTCCCTCGGAAGAGAATTTTCTTCAGTCTCGAATGCACTCTCTCGGCGACAACAAATGCTCATCGGATATCGGATGGGAATGGCTAGGTCAGTAGCAGCTCGAGGAGGTGTCATGGCGCGTCTGATTCCATTTTCGGTAAAAAAAAAAAGCACATGGGGGTTTATTTTGATGACGTCACAAAAGTCACGGATGCTTTGTGAATAGGGTCGATCATTTTGGGTCTTTTCAGTTTTCCAAAAAGGATGGAAAATAATAATCCTAATGGTTATATTTTCACTGAACAACCATCAAAACAGACGCCATGACACCTCCCCCAGTTGCTACTGATCTAGCCTTTCCCGATATCGAATAACAACAAACCTCAGTGGTCTTCGCTCCCTCGCTGCCATTTCGTACCTTCACGAACGAAAAAAAAAAAATCCCTGAAGACGTTGGAATAAAATTGCGCTCTTGAACCAGAGAAAGTGTGTAAAATAAGCCCACTTACAATGCCCTGTGCGCTCTTTTGAACCGAAAAGCGGGAGAAAGTGGTGGAAATTCCGAGCCCAACTTAGACTTGATTGGTGGAGAGTAGTCTATAGATAGACGGTTAGGTGGGTGGATGAGGACTTACCTACATAACAGGAGTAGGAGTATGATTCAGGAACTCGCTTTTCGTTCTACTAAATACGTATGAGACATGATATCCTAATACTCTTAACTGTAAATTCATGTTTACCCTTTCTGCTAAGAAATTATGAATTGTGATGTAAATGTTATTTTTTTTTATTTATTTATTTATTTATTTTTTAGTGCACAATATTCATAAGATTAGAAATATTTGTAATATATATATATATATATATATATATATATATATATATATATAATATACATTTTTTTTTCTTTAGAGATGCTGTTGATAAAAGTCCCTTGATTTGGATGTAACTGTATTTATGTGATAGAGTTAAAATAAGCAATGAAAAAATGGAGCTAAAACCTTTTCTTTGCTTATGTACTTCAAAGGGTCAAGGATCGTTAGAGAGAGAGAGAGAGAGAGAGAGAGAGAGAGAGAGAGAGAGAGAGAGAGAGAGAGAGAGGAGAGAGAGAGAGAGAGAGAGAGATGAGAGAGAGGGGAGATAGAGAGAGAGAGAGAAGAGAGAGAAGAAAGAGGAAGAGGAAAGAGAAAGAAGAGAAAGAGAGAGAGAGAGAAGAGAGAGAGAGAGAGAGAAAGAGTTAAGAAACACTGCTCCAAAACTAATCTATAGTTATCTCATTTGTAATATTACGAAATCCATTAGAATGCATAAGCAAAAAAAAAAAAAAAAAAAAAAAAAAAAAAAAAAACTTTTTTTAAAAGAAGAAAAAAAGACTAGTTAATACACTTAAGATACTCGGCGGGTGTGTTAAAATTGTAC